ACAAAAATGCGGAAGTCTTGACATGCTTCAGTGGGAATTGGACAACTTAACTAGTGTAGCAGAAAATTCCAGAAAAAAAAAGGCAGTAAGTATAAACACTTTGTAAGATTAGGTTTCAATAACTAAAACCCACTGAATGCAAATAACTGACATTTCGTATATCTACTTTTTACTTTTTGCTCCCTTAGAACCAACCTTTTAAAATCAGCTTTCAGTAACTTCTTTGACATATATAGGTAGGTGTAGGGAAATCTACTATAAATTATTTTGGTGAGATTCCATGTATTAACCTACAAATGTGGCTCGCCATAGGATTTGAATGGGTAGTCACTATAAAGTGTTGTTTCTGTGAAAAATAGCCTCATCATCCAAAATAATTCCTTCACAAGAGGTTCTTTCCAAAGATACAAGGATAAAACTGAAAACTCTTGAGTCAAAAGGAAAGTGAAATGCTTTCTCCCACAAAGCTTATCACTAGCCTGTGTCAAGCAGAGTTGTTATGTAGTCCTGTACAACTGTGTTCTTCATTTATGATGCCTGGTGACCTGAAAAACAAAGTAAATTCTTCTATTTTTCCTGGCGTCTATTAATGGAAATGTTTCTCAAAACGTTATTGTTTACACTTTGGTTGTAGCTATAAAATAATAAATGGTAAAAACTTACTTTTTGAGATACCTGCATTCAGCTTCTTCAGTACAGTGTTTAATCACAGAATCATCAAGGTTGAGAGAGATCTTCAAGATCATCTAATCCAACCATCAACCCAGCACCACTGTAATGACCCCTAAACGTTACCCCCAAGTGCTGCATTCAGACACTTCTTGAACACTTCCAGAGTCAATAACTCCACCACCTCCTTGGACAACTTATTCCAATGCCTAAGAACCTTTCAGTGATTTTTTTTTTCTGATATCTAATCTGAACCTCCCCTGGTGCAATATAAGGCCATTTCCTCTTGTCTTTCCGCTTGAGACAAGGAGAAGGGGCTGACCCCCACCTCACTAAAACCTCCGTTCAGGTGGTTATAAAGAGCCATAAGGTTCCCCCTGAGCCTCCTTTTCTCCAAACTAAACAACCAGAGTTCCTTCAGCCACTCCTCTTAGGACTTATTTTTTAGGCCCTTTACAGGCTTCATTACCCTTCTATGGTCATGCTTTGAAGATATTTTATGTATTAATGTAATAAAAATCGTGCAGTGATGCATTGTAAATTCTGAAAATATTCTTTCATTACTAAAGTGCAGTACTTTATTTTAGCACTAATAGTTGATATGAAATCTGCAATACTTCTTCTTGTACTAGATCTCTTTTGGTCCTGGATGACATTTGGGATTCCTGGGTACTGAAAGCATTCGATAATCAGTGTCAGGTTCTTATCACCAGCAGGGACAGGAGCGTAACAGATGCTGTGACTGGTAAGGAACAGTTTCCTCTTCTGCACCACAGATTTTGTGTGTATGTGTGTATACAATTTGTTCTTGTGAACTTTTAAAAGAATCTATTAGAATCTCTGTTGATCAACTTTTGGCAAAGTTTTAGAATTCTGTTCTGTAAGACTTTATGCTCTTTGTGAAATAAGTGTTATTTATATGTTTTTCTGAAATTTAAATGTTTGCTTTAAAGAGTGCAGTGATTCTCAACAGGATAAATTAACTGCCGTGACAATGGTGCTGTAAACTGATTACTCTATTGAGTAGTCACTACCCATAATGCATTTGTCATTATTAGATTATAGTCTTTTTTTTGTCTGTCTGATGCAGACTAATTCTGATGAGTAGAATTCATACTCTTCTTAGTGCTAAGCCTATAAAATACTATACAAAAAATCATGAACCAGGTTCTTTGCTCAAGACTTGGAAAGTGCCTTCAATTTCCATAGGATTTTTTACATTCTTTTAACTTTTTCCATGTTTCTGAATCTAGGCAATAAATTTGAGGTTCATGTCGAGAGTGGACTAGCACATGAGAAAGGACTGGAGATTTTATCCCTGTTTGTGAATATGAAAATATCAGAACTGCCAGAACAAGCTAACTCTCTTGTAAGAGAATGCAAAGGTATACTAGTTGCTCTTCAACATATCACTTACCACTGAAAGTATTTTTTCTTCTAGATGTAGACTTAGAGGAGGGACCGTCCTTTAATATTGTATACCTTAAGTGAAACACAAGTGCTTGTCAAATGTTTTTGGGTTTTTTTTTAAGCAAAATAGAATTGTCCCATGTTGATTTTCAAGCAGTTTTCTTCAGTGTATTTTCCTGGTGCGCTACAACTGCACTTAAATTTCATGAATTTGCAGATGTCTGCATGGATTACATGTTTTGTTTGTCCTCCACACCTCAAGAATTTAATCAATGCGTTGGGAAAATTACCTGATTTACTCAGTGACTTGATGATCAACTATCGGCTTGTGTTGCTTGAAAAGCTCTAATATTGATTTAATCTTTTCCTTCAGGTTCTCCTCTTGTGATATCCTTGATAGGTGCATTATTACGAGACTTCCCTAGTCGTTGGGAATACTATCTCAGACAGCTGCAGAATAAGCAGTTTAAAAGAATAAGAAAATCTTCATCTTATGATTACGAAGCCCTTGATGAAGCAATGTCCATAAGTGTTGAGCAACTAAATGACAATTGCAAAGACTACTATAAAGACCTCTCTATTCTCCCTAAAGATGTTAAAGTACCGACTAAGGTAATAACAGCAGAAATCTTGTCATTTTTAGTGAGATACAAACAACAACTTTAAAGCATTCATAAAATTTACAGTTTTCATGTGCAACTTATGCTGTGTGTAACTTGATAGTAATTGCTAGATTAGGTAGATTTGGTCCATTATTATTGTATCATGACTTTTATTGTTAGTAGTGAAACTAAAAAAAGCATAACTGAATAAATGTATTCATAATGTTTAATTTAACGTGCATTCTGCATATAGCTCTTTAAGTAGGTTTAAAATGTTAAAGTGTTAAGTGAAATGTGTCTTCTTTAAGAAAAAGATATGATTGCCATAAATCAGCACAAATAGGCAAAAGACAGGATAACTTGTAGTATTTGTCCTGTGGTTTGGTATGAAAGAATTGGTGACTTATTGATTACCATTTGTAATATGTCTATATTTCTTAGTATGCATTTTTTTTGTCAGTTAATTGGTAGCCTTTTATGATAGTCACATAAGTCATATTATGACTTAGTTCTCATTCTTTTCTCTGTTATTTTAATATTTTTTAGGTTCTCTGTATTCTTTGGGATATGGAAACTGAAGAAGTTGAAGATATACTGCAGGAATTTGTTAACAAATCACTCTTGTTCTGTGATCGTAACGGGAAGTCATTCCATTATTATCTACATGATCTTCAACTTGACTTTCTCACAGAGAAGAATCGCAACCAACTTCAGGTAGCATAATGATGAATCTGCTTAGTTTTAACTTTTCAAAGCTGGGCGTTCTTCAGAAAATATTGCCTTGTTAAATGGTATCCCAAGTAGTTTCATAGAATAGTCCACGATGCAGTTTAACTTAATGCTGATTAATTAAAAATACTTATTTTCAACTTGAAACTGTGGAAAGATTTCATGATGGTTCCGTTTGGACCTAGGAGACTAAACTGAGAGAAGACTCCATATCCATTATTTCTCTATCAGATGTTTCCAGCAAGAGATGTAATGTAACACTGTTGATTCCAAAGGCATCAAGAGCCTACCAGAATAGGAGGTTCCTTCTTTAATGCAGAGAAGTGCTTTTTTACTTCCTTTTTTTTTTTCAGTTAGGGCAATGCCTGCAGGGAGAAGGCGTATAAGTTGGGCCCAAAAAATTTCACTTCTGAAGGACAAGGCAGAAGAAGTAGACATGAAGAAAAAGCAAGTTTTTAGACTTGCTTTAGAGTGACATATGTAAGAGTCCTTTTTTATTGGCTACCCACATTTAATATGAAGAGAGATTTGATAGCTATTAGCAGTCTGAGAAGGAAGGTTAACAGCTTTCTTTTCTACCGTTTAATATCCAGAGAATGTTTCTGGAGAAATCTTAAGGATTAAATTAGGTAGGGTGTACAATTTGGAAAGGTAAGCTTTTTTTATTTAATTTCTTGAGATGTTGTGATTGAGAAATTATATTATTATTCCTCAATGCTATTTCAAATATAATCTTAATAATACTTATAATTCCTCAATACTGAAACTATCCCATACCTTGGTATAGATTTAACTGAAACTGTGTTTTTCTTCACATTGCAGGAGCTACATAAAAACATAGTAAATCAGTACAAGAAATATTACAAACTGAAGACGCCTGTTCCATCCCAAGAGGACTGCATGTACTGGTATAACTTCCTAGCGTATCACATGGCTGGTGCCAACATGCAGGAGGTGAGTTCTGTCAAGTGGCCTCTGTTTCCCTTTTTAACCCACTCTTACCTCTGCTTTTCCCTCCAGGCCTTTTTCCCCACTTGAACCTCTTTTCCCTCAGGCCTTTGTGCATCTAGATAAACACTCGGCATAGAATCTTTAGGAGGTCCACTGATAATCACTGTCCATTATAAAAACTGTTTTATTTCTACCTTTTGTATCTTGTCTTTTCAACCAGTTTTTGAGAAGATTTCTTATTTTATATCTTAATTGTTCGTATTTTCCTTTTCCTTTTTTAAGAAGCTTTGATAAGAAATCTTCTCTAAACCTTTTTGAAAGCCCAGACCTGCTTTATTGTTTGACAGTACAAGTAAATTGATTTAGTTAGAGAATTCTATCAATTAGTTACCTTTTTCTTCAGAAGTCTTATTAGTTTTTTTCCTCTTACTTTATAGAGATTTACCTGTAAAAATTCATTATCTGATTTTAATAGCAAAAAAAAAAAAGCATCAGGAGGTAGGTGGGCAAATCTCTTGTTCCCAGGATTGCCTTGGCACCTTTAGAAATTTTTTGTCATTTCACCACCTACTGTACTTTAGATATTCAGCTAGAATAAGTTGCAAATCATGTAGAAGGGTTAATAATTCAGAAGTTTCACTTGAATTTGAGTTTCCAATGCATTGAATAGCATTTGATACTGGTTGCTAATTGCTTTATTTCACATGTACTCAAACCTTTTCAGCTGAACTTCTTTGAGATGATTCATCTGACTCATCATATAATATACCGTGTGGATTTATATTTTATAAGAACCTTCATAATTATTGTGGGCTACAAATCTTGTTTTTCTGGATCATATTTATTTAATTATCTTAGTTTCTTTAACTTCAATATGCTTTGAAAAATGGTGGTTTTTTTAGCAGTCTTTCTACATTTTGTAGAATTAGCTTCTCAGAGTTCTTTAGCCTGGCTCATTATGACTGCATGCTTCCTAGAGTTTGCATTCTGTGTATCACTTATTTCTCATTTAGGCATGATTTCTATTTGTTGGGAGGCTAGTAAAGCTAGGAGGTATTATTTTCCTTTGTTTAACCATGATAATATTTTAATCCTTGTGGTATTTACTGTCTTTAAATTGGTATATACTTAGAACCTGTGCAGTGTTGTCTCTAAGCCGCTTTTCTGATCCCAGCAAGTATGTTTTTTTAAAAGAAAGGCTTTTTTTCAGTACATTAATAGCAAGAGGAGGTCTGAAGGAAACATTGGTCCAATACTTGTTGGAGATGGTCGTCTAACTAATAAGGATAAAGTGTAAGCATTCAATGTGGGGTTTTTGCCTCAATCTTTAATAATATTGACAGACTTCGGGCTGCTCAGCCCCCTGGGCTGGAGGAACGTGAGTCTGGAAACAGTGATTTCTCATTTGTGGACACTGAAGTTGTAAGTGACCAGCTGTATCAGCTGAATGTTCACAAGTCTGATCTGATACAATCAAGAGCACCGAAGGAACAAAAGGATATTATGGCAGGACTCCTCCCCATCATCTACCAATGGTTTTAGGAGTCTGGGGAGGTCCCTGTCTGAGGGGCAACCTTGCTGCTCTCTACAGCTTCCTGAGCAGGGGAAGTGGAGAGGGAGGTGCTGAGCTCTTACTCTCTGGTACCCAGTGATAGGAACCGAGGGAATGGTGCAAAGCTGCGCCCAGGGAGGTTTAGACTGGACATTAGTAAGCATTTCTTTACCAAGAGGGTGGTCAAACACTGGAACAGGCTTTCTAGAGAGGTAGTCAATGCGCCAAGCCTGTCAGTGTTTATGTCATTTGGACAATGCCCTTAATAACATACTTTAGCTACTGGTCAGGCAGTTACACTAGATGATCATAGTAAGTCCTTACCAACTGAAATTTCTATTCAATTCTAATAATTCTTTTTGCAGTTTCAGATCGCCTTTTTAAGTAGTCTTCTCATTTTTAAGTGAAATGCAACTATAACTGATTTTTTGCTTTTATTCAAATTCAGCTTCTCTTAGGAAGATCAACAATCACTATTAGCAATGATCTTTGCTAGACTAGACTAGAAGAAGCTTTTTCAGAGTTGTATCTTAAACCAGGTCTTGTGTGCTACAGGTCAAGAATTGCTTTGTACTCCCATCCCTTCTCTGAGTAGGTGTATCAAAAAGCAGCCCTTTGCATTAAAATAACAAGCTTAGCCTTCTTTAACCCAGAATTTTCATACCCGATTAAATAAGATGCAGGAAACAGGAAATTGCTGAAGTTTTCAACTAGAGACAGTTATACCAAAACATATTAAATACCTAATGTAGTTCCTGTCCTTTTCTTTTTCCCCCAAGTAGACTCTGTTGTGAAACTTACGCTCTGAACTTAAATTTATTATTTCTTGTAGGAGCTCCGTGATCTTATGTTTTCTTTAGATTGGATTAAAGCTAAAACAGAATTAGTAGGGCCTGCTCATCTGATTCATGAATATGTAGAATATAGTTCAATCCTGGATCAAAAGGTATGATACTGAAAGGTAAATGATCAGTCTGCTCCAAATATATTTTTCTGTTTTGTAATTGCATTTGGTTGGATATATGTATATATGGCAGGTGTACAGAAAGCTTAAAAAACTGAAGCACAAAACCAATACTAAATTAAACTTTAACTTGGAGAAGATAAAAATGAAGGAAACCTAGTTTTCAGTTTCAGTTTTAACTTCAGTGTGTAAGTGATTGGCTGTGGAACTCAGTAACCAAAGGGATCAATACCTAATGGTGGGTACATAAGATACTCTGCTTTTGAGGAGGTGTGGAATTATGTTAACCACTTGGAACAGTCTTTGTGATATCTCACGCTGACTGCTTATTGAATAAATCACGGTTGCCAATATTTTTTATTTGAAAAATGAGGAGATTATGCTTTCCTGAGTAGGATAATGAAATGTTTTAGTCTATTGTATGTACTTGCTAATAGAACTAAATAGAAAAATAGAGCTAAATGCTTCTATAAGAGTATTAAATGTGTAGAAATTTAAAAAAGCAAAGGGCACTTAGGAAATAAATACTAAGATAAATCTATGTTATCAAATATTATCTGCTTTGTACATAGGATAGCACAGTACGTGAGAACTTCCAGGAATTTCTCTCTTTAAATGGGCATCTTCTTGGACGGCAGCCATTTCCTGACATTATACAGCTGGGACTTTGCCAACCAGAAACATCAGAGGTATATCAACAAGCCAAGCTACATGCTCAAAGAGAAACAGGAACATTTTATTTGGAGTGGATGTAAGTAGATGCAGTCCATCTGCTGATATGCTGATCCCTTGATCCAAGGAAATCATTTAATATACAAATAAATACAACATATGGCTAATAAAAGCACCTTTGTAACAACTGATATGGGTTTTTTTCTGGGGAAATTAGTAATAATTACACAGAAATAAATGGAGAAATATATTTATATCTGGATTCAGAAAGGAGAGCATTTGTACTAACTTGCAAAGTTTTTGAAAGTAGCGAGGTGGGAAATACTTTGTAATCTCTATGCAATCTGGAAATTTCCCCTATTTAAATAATTCTTTACTGTTATTGTGGTTTTAGAAATTGTTTAAGGAAAAAATATACATATCTAAACATTTTCCCAGCTTTGTCTGATAGTCATCTGACCATATAACTCTCTTAGTGACCATATAACTCTCTTTGGCATTCCTCTTCTGATATTTGTAGTACTTGGTGGTTACAAAACAGAACGTCAAGCGATTATAGTAATAGCTGAGCAGGTTAGTCTCCTCTTTGAATATTTGGTTATTTCATTTAGCACAGCTAGCAGAATTCTAAGAAAACTACTTGGAAGGTGCACAGTTCAGAAGAGTCCATCCCCAGTCAGTTCAAGGTTTTTGCCTTGGATATGGGAAACATGCTGAAGAACATGACTGAAATCAACAGAACAGAGATAGATGTTTTGGTCATCACCAAAAGTCATCTTGTTACAGTGACAGCTTTCTGTTTTAAGACCTAGCTAAACAGGATGATTGTGATACAAACCTCTGAGTGAGTGTTGGAATTTATTTTTCCCTTATTACTTCAGAATGAAAGCTGAGAGGTAAGATAGAGTGGGTTGGTTGGTTGTGATAAAGCTTTTCTGCTCAATATGTGTGGAAAAGCGTGAATCTTTTTAGAGAGGATTTTGAATAGTACAAAGGTACTAGAAATCCTACTAATCTAAATCAATTATCTCACCTTGTAGAAATAAAAAATCCTTGAAAAACCTCTACCGTCTAGTTGTTCGTCCACACAGAGATGCAGTTTACCATGCCTGCTTTTCTAAGGATAGACAAAGGATAGCATCATGTGGAGCAGATAAAACACTTCAGGTAAGATACCCATGCATGAGTGAAAAGAGATGCTGTGTACTATATTGATAACCTTTGTTAGCAGTCCTGTTGCATTTTTTTTTTTTGGATGTTATGTGATAGTATTTGGATCTGGACAATTACTGGAGGCAAATGATTGAAAAGGATATATTATTGCATAAACATCAAGTTGCATGTTTAGAAGAGTAAGCATTTTCTTCTAGTTCAAAAGCCAAAAGGTGTGATTTAAGGGTTTATACCCTTACTGCTTTAATGCATAAATGTGAGATGCCTTTTAATGATGTGGGAAAACTCACAGCCTAAGTAATGCACCCCAGCTTATTTAATATTTGCTTGCAAAAAGTATTTTTTCCAGTCACAGTAGACCTTCTACACTACTGAGAAGCAGTAAGATATTTTAATTACATCTTTACTGTTTATATGAGATGATAATGGACATTATGCCTCTTTGATGCTTAATTAATAAAATGTCTTATGCAAAAGTAATATATCTGTGGAGAAAACCCCTGAAGTTGAGGACAGTATTAGATTGGAAACAGGCCTATAGTGCTTAGAAAGCAGATTAGAGGAGACAGAGGGGAAAGTGACTAATATAAATTTGCCAGCAGTCTGCCTGCAGGGGAGTCAGCCAGCTCTCAAGAGAACTAGCAATCAGCCAGCCAGTAACCTGGTAAAGTATCCCTATTCCAGACAGCTAAAGGTAAGGGAAAAGAACAACTTCTCTGCAAACCTTTGGTATTGTTTTGGGTGCTTGAGAAGTTGAGTACTAAAGCAGTAATATCACTGGTGCTTAGTTGCTGTTCATTTGGCTATTTAGTGTGTTTTTATTGGGTTTTTTTAATTTATTTTATTTGTTTATTTTATTTGCTGGCTTCTACAGTATTATGATCATGGCATCCTCTTAAGGAGATGCCTGGTGAATGTACTCATGCTGTGCTGAAGTTGCTGTGCTGAAGTTACTGTGCTGGGCTTCTGTACTAAATTATTGACACTGCAGATTGCTTATTTTTATCTTCATTTTCTACCCAAAAAACCCCTGTGGATTGTGATTGCATTTAAACTAAACTTTTATTGAAGAAGTAATAGGAAAATTAGCAGTGGTCCTTTTTCATTGTTTCACTTCGAACTTATTCATGTTTTTTCTAATCATGGCCTAAGCTTTTCAGTTTTCAAAGCTACTTAAGAAAATGATTGCTAGAGTAAGAGCAGATATTCTGTAGAACTTACGGTGAATTTCCTGTTACTTCAGTATTTATGTTCTTATTTGAACTAATACCAACAGTTTCATTGTCATTGACATACCCATTCAATAAAAAATTAAAGGAAAAAACCAGGGATTTCACAATTGCAGTATCCTGAACAGTGCTGTAAAGAACACCTTGTGATTTATTTTAATAATTAAAAATATTTAACCTAAGATGGAAAGGGAGATGTGATTTTCCCCCTGCCTGTCCCACATTGTAAATCCCAGAATTTGGGGAAATTGATTAGTATGTGACACTTTTCCCCAGTTGTTCTTTCATTTCCTTTGTCTAGCACAAGACAGAAACTTTGAGCCCAAGTGTCATTCTGTACAATTTTTCCTTACTTATTTTTGGGTTTTGTTCCTCAAATTGTCAATTGGTTATGAAATTCATACTTTCCACAGAAGAACATCACATACATATAAAACTGGGATTTTTAGTTTTAAGAATAATTTAGATTTTCTTAGTAGATAGTGTTTTGCAGTTACTGTTTGGAAATACTGTGAAAGGACCTGGCTCTGGGCTTAAAGAGTGAGGGTAGAACAGAAATATTTTTTAGTATCAGTTTTCACTATTTCTCTCCCTAACAATTTTTATCATCCTTGCAAAATTGAAACTCAAATTAAATAGTTTTATAGTTATGTTACTGTAACATAAACATGAAAATATGAATGAAAATATGAATGCTTTCAAAAGTAAACCAATTTTTGAAGAGTTTACATAAAAGAGCCATTTGAGATAAAAACACCTTATATTTGTGCTTTAAAATTATATGCAAGTTATAAGGTTTTATTATTTCTTGTTATAGGTGTTTAAAGCAGAAAGTGGAGAGAGACTCCTGGAGATAAATGCCCACGATGATGAAATACTTTGTTGCGCTTTCTCTGCAGATGGTGAATTTGTAGCAACCTGTTCAAGTGATAAAAAAGTGAAGGTAAGGGAATGAGATGTAGGCAATTCTTTTCATCAAGCCAATAATTCTAATTTCTGTTAAACCAATTCAGACAGAGCAGATTCTTAAGACTAAAGGTGTTTGTTTTAAACTGTCTTAAATCTTACATGGATAATTCAGTACTTGACAAACAGATAAGTCCCACTTGTTACTTATGCAAAATACGCTTAATGTTACCATCTTACTTGTAGCTACTATCACTTATTTTACTTGTATTATGGGATGATTCTTTTTAACTAGAACGTAATGTTTGAGACCAGTCTTACTCATAAGAAATCTATCCATAATTGGTTTTTTAATGTTTTTTCTGTTACCTGTGAAATATTTGGGATTTTTAATTCCTCATTATTGTAGCCAAATCTTGTTGAAATTCCAGTATTTATCAAATTACAATCTGAATTATGACCTTTCCCCTCATAACTTCTTGTTTCTTTTTGCAAATATATATTTTTCCCTTTATCTTCAAAACATCTTTGAGGTGTTATTAAGAATGTTTCAGGACTTTATTTCTACATAGTTTCCAAATTTTTTAAAACTAATTACTTTAAATATATTTAAAAGTCTTTTTCATCCTTCAATTCTGTCTAGATCTGGAACTCAAGAACAGGCCAGTGTTGGCGTGTATACGAAGAACACTCAGAGCAGGTCAATTGCTGCCAGTTCAATAACAGAAGGGGTCAGTATCTCCTAGCCACCTGCTCAAATGACACTTTCATCAAAGTAAGTGGAAAAGGTTGAGATTATTCTCATGCTACTTGTCATAACAGGATAATTATTAGTGTATAAATATATCCAAATGCTGTAAATTAATGGTTTTTTTTTTTAATGAACCTGGTAGAAGAGAGATGGCAACTGATTCAGAGTACCAATTACAGCTCTGTAGTCAGATTTCAAAAAGGCAGAATAGGAGCATTTATACTCAGCAAAGGAGAATGGGCAAGTCCTCTGTTGGTAGGGTATGAAGGTGAGGGCTTTGGCAAGACAGAGGGTGGAATGGGAATGGGAGTGAAATACCTAATTAAAAACAGCATAAGAAAAAGTGAAGGCAGAACTTTAGGTTGGGAAACATTAATAATGTAAAAAACTGGATGCTGAAAGAGGGGGAAAAATGTGTTATGTAAGTGTAGCAGGGGCATTTTTTTATTAAATTTTTTGGGCATAGTAGAGAGATGAACATGGAAGACAGCAAAATAATAATCAGTACAGAGGTTTGTCAGATTAACTGTTGGCCTTCAGTGTCCAGATTGGGAGGCAGTATGTATACACAGAAAGAGCAGAAGCTGGGCAATTTAAGTCTGTATCTGATGGAAAGGGGAAACCAGAAGAATCACGAAGATCTAGACACTGGCAAATAAGGAGTGCAATTTTACCGTACAAATAGGCAAATAATTTCATTAGCTGGCACCAGAGATGCCCTGGCAGTATATTCTTGCCTTTGAGACAATGCATGTACTTAGCTTATTCTGCGGTGTATGATTCAAGGAGCCAGCTCTGTAAAACCCTCTGCTGGGATTGCTTTTCTGCCCATTTGGTTCATTGTAGTGACACTGTTACCTAGTCCCAGAGCAAGAGAATTGTGGGAAGTAGATGGCAAGGAGTGAGATTTTTGGGTAGGGGGAGAGACAACCATCACTTCCAGCTGTAACGTGCAGTTGTGAAGTGTCATCTGAAGAGTTCTTGCAAAAGCTTGTGTCTGTGTCAAATGGAGGACAAATACAGTTACGATCTGACGTCAAGGTGGAAAGAAGAGGCTTTTGTGCTGATCTGAATGTCTCAGGAGATACATTTACTGTCTGAGTCTGCCACCTTGTAACAGGTAGATTTAGAAGGCACTTGTTTAGAATTACCATTTTTGTAACATTGATGTGGTTAAAAATTTAGACAGTTTGACACTTTCATGAGTAATGAATAACAGATTTGAAATATGTACAGTAATTTTCAGAGAACACTGTACAAGTGACTGTTCTTGTTTTGAGCTCTCTCTTGAATGCTTAATTGAATTTTTTTTTTGTGGGCTATAGACTTGGAAATCAGTGCATGTGAGAAGGGTGGGGAGGAGAAGCCCTAAACAAAAAAACTCATATGAAATGTTTTTTTTTAACTTTGTTAGTATGGATGTGACAAGTATGATTTTCATACTGTTCAAGATTAACTCCAGAGATTTCATTTTTGTTAATATGCATAAGCTATGTAATTCTGAACTTCAAAGTTGAAAAGAGTCAAGACAAAGCTTTGTGCTCAGTCTGGAGAACAGGAGACCAAGGGGAGATCTCACTGCAGTCTGTAGCTTCCTTGTGAGGGGAAGAGGAGGGGCAGGCACTGAACTCTATGGTGACCAGTGACAGGACCCAAGGGAATGACCTAAAGCTATGTCATGGGAGGTTTAGGTTGGATATTAGAAAGAGGTTCTTCACCCAGAGAGTGGTTGGGCACTGGAACAGGCTCCCCAGGGAAGTGGTCAGAGCACCAAACCTGACAGAGTTTAAGAAGTGTTTGGATGATACTCTTGGGCACATGGTGTGACTCTTGGGGATGGTCCTGTGCAGGGCTAAGGGCTGGACTTGATGATCTTTGTGGGTCTCTTCCAACTCAGCATATTTTGTGACTTCGCACTGTTCAAGGGCCTTGTCTGCACTGTACAGTGCAGTTTTAACTAGATCTATTTAATTCTGATGTTAATAGTTTTCGTGCATGTTAGCAGATGGAGGTGAGTTGTGGGGTAATCTGGGGTACAGCATTCAATCCATGAGCATGTGGGTAAAACTAAAAAAAAAAAAGAAATTGATGTTTTGATTGCCAGCATAGGATTTTGAGAAGAGCATGAATGATCTGTCTTTAAGTAATCCATTCATATGATGATATTTATATGTTTATTTCTCTTGCAGCTTTGGGATGTGAATGAAAAGTATTGTAGAAATACGATGATAGGTCATGAAAATTCTGTCAATCACTGTAGATTTTCACCAAATGATGAATATGTTGCTAGCTGCTCAACAGATGGAACAGTAAAGGTACACAGTGTAATTTTAAATCAACTGTTTGTTTTGATGATGGATGGGGTTATTTTTGTATGAAATGCAAAGAAAATTTTGTGTCTGCATGATAAGCTTTAATGAATCAAAGTTGGTCCTATTTGTAATGCAGGATTTTTAAATGGCTAGTCCAGTACCAGGAAAAGAAAGTTGGCTACCTGTAGTTGTGAAGAAATAATACATAGCCTCATTTTGAATATTTTTCCCTCTAATGCACTTTATTAAGAAAGCTTGAGGTGAGAGTGAAAATTATTTAAATAGAAATAGTAGTAAGTTTTCAGGTTAAGTGAAAATTCTCTCATCTCTGAAAATGATCAGGAGGCATAAAAATTAAAAGCAATTTCTATGTACTGTTTTCATGTATGCACTAGAAGAGAACTGAGAGTCTTATGTGTTTTTCTGAGCATGTATTATTTTTATTGCCTTTGGTTGCAACAGAACTATGCTGTTTCAGAATTGGAGTTCTTAAAACACTGTTATGTTTCTGTGTAGTTGCTAAATCAGGAAAGGAGGATTGCTGTAGCTGTTGTTCAAAAGGAAAAGTGTAGTGAAGGGGTCAGAAATATTCAGTAGATTTTTGGCAGGTTCTCCAATGAAATTAAGGTGCAAAGCTAGATGTGTACCAGATTTCTCATGGTGAGTGGACTGTTTGTAGAGTTGCAGGGCAAGTATTATTTTTGGGTTTAGTCTTTTGTTAAGTAGAAGTTGAGACAGCATTGTACCTGGAATGATATGACAGAAGAACCCAAGGACAGGGTTCTGCTACAGCATAATCTTGGGGGTTTTGCGTTTTGTTTTTTATTTTCTTCTTCTTTTTTTGTCTAAACCATTTGGACTTATGAATATTCTAATGCTACTTATTGACTGGGCAAAGTAGCAAGGGGCTTTTCATATATGGTGTTCCCTGCCCCTCTCTTTCCCTAGAAATGATTGTGTGTTAGGGTCTCCCCTGTTGAATTCTGTACCTACATCAGTGAAAAGATGTAGGTACAGAAAAGATATTAATTTCTTTCCTGTTTATCGCAGCTTTGGGCAGCATGCTCAGGAAATGAACTGAAAAGTATTGAGATAAAAGATTTCTTCAAAAATGCAGATGAGCAACCAGATGATGTGGACGTCTTAGTAAAATGTTGCTCTTGGTCCAGAAATGGTGACATGATTTTGGTAGTAGCCAAAAATAAGCTTTTGGTAAGTACCTCACTTTAATAATTATTTGGAGGTAGTATATTACAGTTACTGATGAAATTCCAAGCTATTAAGATGTTTCAGATAAAAGATGGGTGATTTCAAGTGTGTGTAAAAATATGTCGGCAGCAAATTTGTGACTGAGAGAAATACTTCCTAAATTCAAGAATGTACACTGTTACGCATATAAGCTATTTGTCTATAGCGAAGTCATTCAAACTCGGTGCCAACTATTTTACTGTGTGTTCACAGCTTTTTGATACTGAAACATGTGATTTGGTAACGGAAGTCATCATCAGTCATCACAGTACAATCCAATACTGCGACTTTTGTCCTGGTGATGAGTTAGTAGCAGTTGCCTTGTCTCACTGTTCTGTTGAGGTAAGCAATTGTCTTTGCTGCAGTATACCAGGAAAGGCTACTTGTAATTTAAAATGTTACATTTGTCTCGGTAGTTTTTTGTATGCAGAGATATAACAAATGTAGGTACTTTAGCAGGCTTTCGATGTGCTTGATTCTTTAATTTTCACTTGCTTCTGAAATGTAAAATATCAGCTGGGAAATAGTGTTTTAAAGTTACATGTTCATTCTGGACAATGGAACTTATATAGAAAGACAAGTATACTAAATGTATCTAAAGTTACTGTTGTCACTCTCAGGAGTATTGTTTAACTCAAACCAAACCAAACCAAACCCTCTCTCCTTCTATATGCTGGTACAGACTGTGGCAACTCAATAAGAAGGAAGGAAACATCTAGAATAACTTTGGGACTAGCAAGGCTAGAGTAAGTCTAGCCTTGTTTGAGGTTGGTTTGAGGTGATCGTTGCTGTTTGGGTTTTTTTTGGTTTTGCAATCTACATGGTCAAGTTGAACTTCTGGTTTTTTATACTGTTCTTTTTTTCTTTTGTTTTGTTTTACCCCCTTGTCTTTTAAAATTACAACGGTCAAAGAGGCTGCGGATTCAATTTTCCTGACCATTGAAATGTGATAAGTAGGCACAGTTCTTGTTACGCCTGACTTGAGAATGAGAATTAAGAAAATACTAGAAGACATAGTAATTAAGTGTACTTGCACTTAATTAATAAATTAATAAATGCAATCTAAATCCGTGTAAGTCCTTCTTCTGTATTTTTATTGTAGTTGTGGAATATTAAATCTCTGTCAAAAGTGGCATATTGCAGGGGACACATGAGCTGGGTTCACTGTGTGGCATTTTCACCGGATGGATCTTTATTTCTGACATCATCTGATGACCAGACAATACGCGTAAGACAACTTTTTTCTGTTTAGAAAAATGTTAATTTTATATATATATTTAAGTATTTGTATTAAAATAATTTACATATACAGTAAAACGAGCTGGCTTTTTTACTTATTTACTGTTTATATAAATTTCTTCTATGTCTACATGATTTTTTTAAATCTCATGGCTCTTCAAGAGCAATTATGACCTTCTGTTTCGTTTTACATTTTATCTGAATTAGGAATTGTGAAGTTTTTTGAGTATCCTAGCAGACTTGATATTAGTTTCATTGTTAGATATATTTGCATGTTAGTATTTAGGATAGGTTTCTTTAATTGTAATGTTTCACTAAAACCCTGGGAAAGTAGAACTATAGTTTACCAAGGCAACTTTCCCTTTCTCTCAAATAACCACATACATTTTTGAAATTTCGAAAGCAGTTAAGTATAGAAATATGTATTTAACATTTTTTGTAATTGGATTTTAATGCTGCTCTTTGGATTAGAAAACTTTGGACGTTATAGCTCTGACTCTAAACACAGAGGAGTCTTACAGTCAGCCTGGAAAAAAAAGTTCTGTTTCCTCTGTTGGAATCACTATAGTAATTGCACAACCTTCTCTAGTATCAAAAATAGCAGAAGCATGATTTTCACTGTTTTAAAAAAATCAGTGTTACATCCAAGGTTATAAGCCTTTGGTTTACAAGTACTCTTACTCAGCACATTTTGTATCTTATTCTTTAATAAAGCTAATGAAATGCTTTGTTCTTCAACAGATCTGGGAAACAAAGAAGGTGTGCAAGTCTTCTGATGATGTGCTGAAAAGTGAACTAGATGTTGTATTTCACAATGGTGAAGTGATGATTTTAGCCATTTATAATCAGAAGCACTTACAAGTAAGCTGTATTTCTCAATATGTTAGTACATTTGAACGTTACCTGCAAATCTCGCGAGGAAACAAGGAAGCATTGAAAGAACTGCTTGTTCATGTGTTTCAGCAGTTGAATCTCTAGCAGATGACTCAATGTTTGATAAGATCTTTATATCTAGAAACTCTGCCTAGTTTATTAAGTGAAAAATGGGAGTTTTAGGGGAAATTTCTACACCAGTGTCGAAACTGAAACCAGATGCAGAGAAACAAAACTCATCTCCCTTCATGACCAGGGATGCTGTGGGCCCTCCAAGTGGCTTAGATGTGCACAGCAATGTGTAATGTGTGCAGCACCTATAGGCCACGTGTAGCATCTATAGACCAGGCGTTACACAGCATGTGTATGTAACACATCAGAACCCCTGTGTAACAGCTGAACGTCTCAAATTGGGGCATTGAAAGGTGTGAGCCCAGGACTGCCTATAGCCTCAGATTTGTGCTGAAGAAAATAGTAACAGTGAGTACACTCCTATTACTGTGGGCCTCCCCACACCAAGTGCTAAGTACACCAACATCCAAAATATATTTTTCCATTCCACGATAGCAAGTGCATGCACATCATCCTTTTTAAAACCATGACTCTCTAATATATCAAATAAAGTCAGTTTATAGGATTTTCATCTGCTGCAACGGAGGGCTGAGAGAAATCACAGCAAATGGAGTTACACCTGCTTATGTGTGGGAACAATTTAGGACATTTGATACTTTTTCATCTTCCTGAATTGTAACATCTGTAGCAACTACTGTGTAATAGTGTAGTCTGGCTCTCATTTGAATTAGTAGACCTTATCTATATGTTTATAAATAGTGTATTTCTGTTCTAACTTTACTTGAACCATTTCCTAGAGAAAGATGGTGCTTAGATTCTCTGCCCAAAATACAATATTCTGACAACCTGTAGACAGCAGTCATGAGAGAAGTCTGCAGTGTAGAAAGGCAATAGATTTTTTCATCCTTGCACAAGGAGAAAAATTGACTGAAAAGACAGATTACATGTGTACTCTCATTTAACAGTGTACCTGTTAAATCTGTACATCTCTCAAAGCTTTTCTTTCAACCTTTTGTAATTTATTGTCTCTCAGAACTGGACTCCTACTCACCCTTTGATGTGCAATACATTCATTTTTAAACACTTCACACTGATAGCTTTTTGAACTCTGTTTTTAAATTATTGTATACTAAAGATTCCCTCCCCCTGCCTCCTTCCAGGAAATTGATTTGAGGGCAATACTGAGTTGAGATTTGGTGTATTGTATGTGCTAGTAAGTTTAAAGTCATGCTTAGACGATGCACTTAAAGTATTTTATGCTCCATTTGACATGGGCTTTAAATCTGGCTGGTAAGGTAAATTTGAGCATGAAGCTTGCTGTATGGCTTTTGGAACTTGGGAGTAGCATTTTAAGTTACTGTTTCCTGTAGTCAGACAAACTTTAAAAAGCCTTTTAATACTGAGATGAGTTTCTTTCTACAAACTTGTCCTGTTCGGAGAACATTGTGTGGAAATAGTTATGCTGACCTTCAAGGCTTATGAAAGTTTATGGTTTCATGGTTTATGAAGTTTTATAAACTTCATGGTTTATGAAAGTAACTGATTCTTATAATTTAAAGTTTGTAACTTTGTACACTGTTCCTTTTGGCATTCTTAGCTCTGTATTGTAATTTATTTAAGTTTAAATTTTAAAATATTGTAATAATTAGCTTCCTATCTTACAGCTTATCAATGGAAATACAGACAATGTTATTATGCAGACAGCAGCCCAAGAATCCCCCATTTCCTGCTGTTGCTTAAGCAAAGATCTTAAATTTGCAGCTTTTGGACAGGAAAGTGGAACAATAAAGGTATTAAATCTTAAATTTGATTTTTAAAATAGTAGGAAAACACTCTTCTTGGTGCTTTTTAAATAAATGTAATTTGAATGACTTTGTACAATAATATTCTTCAACATAGTAATTCAAAGCTAATAACTAATCTAATAGGACTTCTTAGTTGTTCTAATCCAATGACTGAGAATCATGTATTTTCAATCTCACATTATTTAAAAGAGAATTTGCATATTTGTGTTTTCCTCAAGTATATAAAATAGGTACAGCTATTGCATTCTTCCTTTTAAAGGTACTACAGTTGTCAGATGGGAAAGTTCTGAAGTCCTGGGAGGCCTACAGGACATCTGTGCAGCATTGTCAATTCACATCTGATTGTCAGACTCTCATTTCAAGTGCTCACGATTCAGTTCTACAGGTTTGAAAGATATTTAAAAAGATCATGTTGTAACTTACTGAAAGTAAAGAGCTTTTATACTATATATAATGTAAACTCAGTAAATGATTAGTCTATTCTGTATTGCTCCATGTTGGGGGAAGAGACTGTAAAAACTGTAGCTTTTATTTATAACTTATGTGATAGTGAATATTAGATTTTCTGTTTTTACTGCTGTGGATGATAAAAAAGCACCAACTGCTTTGAGAAGAGTAAAAGGAACATTAATTGTCAAACAAGACAACTCAGCAGTTCTGAAGTGAGGGTTTGGGAAGTGACCCAGAGCTGACTGTATGTGGTAGGTCTGTCAGTGGGCTTGTTTATACTCTCTTAGGGAATGAGGTAAAAAGGTCTGTCTCAGAGTGGGCTTGTGTGCTCACCTAGTCCCATAGAGTGCTGAATACAGATAATTCTAGAAATAGGGTGACTGCACTAATGTAGTCTCAAATTAGTAACCTCTGCCTCTCAGCAAGGTAGATTGGCTCTGGAGACGCATTCTGGTGTGTTTATGTAAGCATTTTAGCTCACCTCAGGGATGCACTTTTGAAGTGAACATCCTTGTCATTTTATGCTTACTGTGCTTTAGTTTGCACTGCAGATCAGCTGCAGCGTGCTGACAGGATTCCTAAACTGGAGCACATGCTCTGGCTACTAATGAGCATTCACTCCACACAACAAAACTTGAGTTTCTCCAAAACACATATGAGTGCTGGTCCTCAGCTTTAGAATCCTGTCAATTTTAGCATGGGAAGCTTTTCTGCAGGGTCCTCAGCTCCCTCTTGTGGGCAGCGCCTCAGTTAAACCTCCAGGACTGTCACCTGAACACAGATGCTTTCTATTCACTCTTTGCAGCAGGAAACCTATAAAATTTAAAACTATTAAATTATTGTAATTTAAAATAAATTGATGCCTAATAGCTTCTGTAAAAAAAAAATTACACTCATTTTTAAATGAATAGTTGAATTAAAAATAGAAGTGTCATTTTGCTATAAAAATGCGAAGCAAAATGGCATTTCATTAAAAATGCCCATTAAACATATAAAAGAAAATTAACTCAAGTGTGCAAAATATGAGGTCTGCCAGGCAAAATAAGTCTATTTGTTGCAATAATCAAAGGTTTAAACCCCCAAACTTGTCAGGTGCTTATAAGTTATTGGTTTGCCTTTTCTTATCAAATTACCAGTGAATTTTAAGTAACAAATTCACTTTGAAAATCAGATAATATGTGTTTTATAGGGACTGTCTTATAGCTTGTCTAATAAATTCTGTGGCATGTCTCTACTATGGATCTCTTCAATATCTAACATTTTAATTAATTGCCACCACTGTAAGAACTTTTTGTTAGTCATGTGACATAAAAATCGACTGGTTAGTTCATTCTTCTTAACTTATGTTTGCTGTTACAAATTTTTTAAGAAGTATTTAATTTTTATAACTAGGTATGGAATTGGGAGTTGAGCGAACATGTGTTTCTAAGAGGGCACATGGAAGCAATCAAGGATTTTAGACTTCTGGAAAATTCAAAACTTCTCTCTTGGTCATTTGATGGAACTGTTAAGGTAAGTAAAGGGAACTGACAAATCACATCAAATATGTTTTACTTTCTCTTGTAACATTTGGTATTTCCTGCACTTTGTGTGGATTTTATTGATTTGATCATGAAGTGTAAACTGACTTTTAAGACAAAGTTTTGAATTTTTTTTTTAGTAAGGTTTACACTGTTGTTGTATTTTAACTATACCAGTAAGTATAATAAAGTGTTGATCATATTAGATCTAGCTAGTTGAGTTTAGTTTCTTACATATTATTGTATACGATGCAAATGTTTTTAACCTTTTTACTGTGCTACAAAATTAACCCATTTTTCCTGTATATTTGATTAGGTTTGGAATATCACAACTGGAAACCTAGAAAAAGATTTTGCTTGTCATGGAGGTGCTGTGCTTTCCTGTGCTGTTTCACCTGATGGTAGTAAATTTTCATCTACTTCTGCTGACAAAACTGCAAAGGTTGGTTACCTTCTATACAAAGATAAAAGCGATGCCTTATTTGTCCTGAAATGTAATCTATATTTCTTATTTTGAGGTAGCTAGTGATTATTCAAGTTATCCTGTTGTATTTCTAGTATTAAATTTCCTGTATCCATCAACATGTTTCTAAAGCTGTTACAGTCATTCGCAATTGATCTTGGCTGTAACTTGAAGCTGTACTAGTGGCTTCTGTACAAATAAAATGCATGTTTAATGCACAATTTGTGCAGAACACTTTGTTTATTTCTCTGTATTGATTTGTTGATAGCCTGACATTCTTAATTTGTAAAGTTAAGAAAAATTTCCGAAACTTCCAGGAAAGTGCTGTCGGTAGGTTCTGGTATTCCTGTTCTGAAGTCAGGTGTACAAAGTAGTGCACTGGGGCTGCCCCATTATATTCTTAAAGCACTCCATTAGATTTTTAAAATATAACTTTAAATTGATTGATAAATCCTGTTTCTATGAACAGCTTTAAACTTTCTTGTGAACAAATCAGTTTCATTAAAAAATATGTTCTAAGGAAAGATATATTACTTGCAGTTGTTCAGTAATTTGTAGCAAGCACATTCTTCTGTGATTCAGATAATAAAAAGAAAACTAGATGAGAGTATAATACATTTACATAAATGCACACGTATGCATATAAATGAAAAGTCTTATGTACATTTGAATGCTAATGCCTTTTAGAAAGAGGTCCTAATTGGTTTTGAACTTGTCTTTTTCACTCCTCTTTAATGTTTTCCATTTAGATATGGAGCTTTGAAAGCTCTGCTGTTCTTCATGAGCTGAAAGGTCATGAAGCCTGTGTGCGGTGCTGTACTTTCTCTCCTAACAACAAATTATTGGCCACTGGAGATGACAAAGGAGAAATAAGGGTACTGCTCTAATCTTGATGTTTATTTTATAATTCAGTTGAAATTCAGCTTGCAGATAGAAGAGTTCTTATAGTTTGTGTTCTGCATGTCTAATTCGTTAGCATTGTGGTGAACTTTGGAGGTTGAAAATAGCAAAGTTTGTCATGTGAGGCAGTAATTTGTAACCATATTGATAGATTTATGTTCCATGAATGATAAGGAACCAATTTACATGATTCAGTAATTATTCTACTGTGAATTGCATGAGTGATTAAATCTTCCAAATATGATACAGTTCTAAGAGAAGAATTCTTTTTTTGAATATTTTGTCACTTCAAGGACGATGCATATTTACAAGAGATCTTTTTAATACAGAAAAATACATTTTCAGATATCCTTATTTTAGTTTTTTTTTCCTGTAAAGTTTATTTATTTGCATAATCTTCCTTCTCGTTTAGATTTGGGACGTTTTAGCAGGTGCATTACTTCACTTCTGCTCCCCAGTTACTGTAGACGAAGGAGAACCAACTCACGGGGGTTGGGTAACAGACCTCTCATTTTCTTCTGATAGTAAAATGCTTGTGTCATCTGGAGGCTATCTTAAGGTAAGCCTTGAAATAATAAATATCCTAACATACCAAATTAAAGGGCAACACTCTGTAAATTCTAAAGGAAAATGAAGACTAAATCAAAGAAACAAATCTGAAATGTTTTACTGAACACAGAGCTGCTTCAGTTTCACTTCTTTCCTTCTCATATCTGCAAGTCCCCTGAAAAGGTCTCTTAAAAATTCAAGCTTGTTTTTAAACTCTCTCATTGGTTCAGGCATCTACCAGGCATATGTCTTCTGGGAAGGGGAAGAGTTGGCCTTTCTTTCAGTCTGTGAATGGTTCCTTGTAATTGTGAATTTCTCATGAGCTTTTGTGTTGTTGTTTTTCCCCTCATGTAATAGCCAATACCAATTATTAGAAACTCTATGTGTATGTGAAGTGAGAGGGGGTGAAGTTCTCCATCTCTCACACCTCAGAGTGATAGAGTTTGGTTGATTGTTCATCCGTGTCTAGCTGTTGGACATGCTATGAGACTAGTTCTTTGAGGTCAGTCAGTAATCATTTAACAAAGGTTTGAAAATTCAGCAAAGTTGAATTTTCTAACTTAGCTTTGAAAACATCTTCTGCTGTTCATTTCATATTAGAGAACAAGACATACTTTCTGTTTCCAGCTTCCTCCCCATTTTACCTTGTGGTTACACAGTATGGTGTTGTGATACTTCTTGAAGTGTAGAATTGTTTAGGACTTCTGGAACGGTGCTCTGTCTTTCTTCTATGGCATCTGTTCTGGGTATCCAGCCATCTCAATGACCGTGGGGTGGACTTGCTCCAGTTCTCAGTGTTTTTCTTATGCTCAGTTGGGGCTAAACACACATTAACCGAACTGCTGGCTACTACCTTTTGAACCTAGTAGTATACACTTAGATTGTTACCTACCTTGTATTCCACTCGTCCAGTCCTTATCTCTCCAGTTTGGCTATAGGGACACTGTGGAAAACCATGCTGTAGGCTTAGCTAAAGTCGAGGTTATTCACACCCACTGCTCTTTCCATGCTGTTTGGAGAGCCGCCATTATTGTCAGCAGAAGTCAAATGGGGTGGTTCAGCATGATTTACCTTTGTGCTAGTTGTTCAAATGACTTGAAATAGCTTCCAGAAAACTTCAGCCATAATAATTCCAGACACTAGATTGAAGATTACTGGCCTGTAGTTCTCAGCAACATCTTTACTCTTTGTGAAAGTGGGTATGACATTTGTCTTTTTCCAGTCATGGGACTATATTCAATCATCATGTCTTCTCAAAGTATTGTATTTCTACTTCTCTTTCAAGATCTCCAGATGGCTGTGTATAATGTGCATGAAAACACACACAGAGCCATTTTGTAGGGAGATGCCAGGCAGTGAAAGTCTAGAACATTTCAGAAGTCTGGTCCCCTAAAAACTGGACTGAGTGGTACTGTAGAGTTATGTGGACAATAACTTTAAACAAGTGAGTCATCTTAGTCCTAAATTAAGTGTATCCAGCTGTGAACTGTTAAACTTGCTGTGTGAGTGGTACCCCCAGCACAGCACCTGATCATTTATTCACCAACAGAGGTTCAGGAGCTAAGGTCCATTTTTTGTTTGGTTGGTTTTATCTTTCTGTTTTTGGGGCTCTTGATCAAATAGCAGACACTTTAGCGACAGTGTTTTTAATGAGAACATTATAGCTGTGTAGTTGCGAATCTGTATTATGCACACAACTGTAATGCTACATATTTCATGAGATGAGTAAGCTAAAAAGTAGTACTACCATCTGTTTTTCTAGATGATCAAAGCTGAAGGTAATCTGTTGCGATATTTTGCTGCTGCACTCAAAATCTGCAAGAACAGAGGGTAGACTTCTTATCGGCACAACTGAGTAACAGCTTTGCGCTGGATTGCTTTTAGGTCAATTTTGCACTGGTCTGTAGTTTTCCTGAGAAATGTGAAATTCCAGACTACAGTAAACTGATGGTTGAAGGTTTCTCAGTTTCTTTGCTATTAGGACTTACTGCATATTCTAAAAAATAATAATTAGAAACTGTAATCTCACTGAAAAAGAATTTGGTCCTACTAACAAAACTGTTATTATTTTTTATAGTGGTGGAATGTAACTACTGGAGAATCCTTACAAACCTTCTACACAAATGGAACAAACCTCAAGTCAATACATGTGTCTCCTAATTTCAAAGTGTATGTGACTGTTGATAATCTTGGTATTCTTTATATATTACAGAAATTCTGATCAATGTGCCGAACACTGCAAGGATAACTAATTTTTTATCTGAAACAAAATTCTTCTAGACGTTTGTCTGACTCTTCTTAAGCTGTGAATTACAGTTCATTGTTGTATTCATGTTTTCATGTATATTTATGTACATTTATTTATGTTTTTTCAAATGAACTTGCATTTAATCTTGCTTTTAATAAGTGTTATTATTATCCTTAAATCTTGATTTGCATTTTAAGTATGTTGCTTCCAATTTGTAAGGAAATTATATTAAGATTTATTCAAATTAGTTGAAATTAATAACAGTGAAAAAATAATAAGAGTATAATACTTTGAAATTATTTGATATATTATTTGATATATTTGAAATTATTTGGTATAATTATTTGAAATTATATATTGTGCTGAGGCTGATGGCTAAATATTCTTTAGTCACGAACACAACTGTATGAGGTGGAAACCCATTTTTTTTTACTGTGATGCAAGGATTTTCACTTAGAATGGAATAGAAAGAAGGGGGGGCATTCTTCACTTGAAATATGAAACCAGCCATCTTGGTGCTTGACATTCAAACCAAATCAAGTAGCTGTTCAATTTACAGCAGCAGTGCCTCCTACTTGTGGTAAGAACCTTCATGCTTCGAATCTGTGGAGATAAAGTGCATTGTAACACGTGTGAGCTGCTCCTATTAAGGGGAACATCCTGAGTCTTGTTTTCTGGAGGAAAAATCTAAAAGGATACTGCAACTGAAGTGGAAGAGATAGTGCCATATTTCCAGTCCAAGGAGAGTACAGCTAACCAGCTAAACTGCAAATGGAAATGGCTTAAAAGCTATATATTGGAAAATCTAAAAAGGTGTGAATTTAATAGTTTTTCTTTTCTTTTGGATTTAAAATTCAGTTTATATCATGGAGGCACTTTACTGTCATCAGCTTTGTTTACATGGGATTCTATGCCCACTTGATCTCTTGCCTGGTAATATGTGATTTTTTTTTTTAATTATTTTTTAAATTTTTACAGTCTATTTATAGATTCCTTATAGGGTAGAAATATTGACATTTTTTACTAATTACACTTGACAAATGTTTTGTGAGTAATTAGGTAACAATTTTTTCTTAGATATCTAGTAAGTCTTTTTCTACTCAGTTGCCTCTCAACTGCTATGAGCAACTGCACAAGCATTAATATGATTTTCATATTTTTGTAGCTGGCAGTAGATCACTGTCTAACAACTTGATTGTATAAAGCACAGTAGCAAGTATCTCAACTGATACTGATAATGAAATTCTCATGGTATTTTTTGTGTGCATTTCAGAAGATTTCATATGCATTTTTAGTATTTCCCTGGTTTTGACAATTGCCAGTTTTTCCTCTTTTTTAACTTAAAATTGGGCTATTTCTAAGGTGCTATTGAATACGGGTCAGTATAATCACAGTACTGCTGGCAGATATGTAAAGAGAAGAAATTCAATGGAAAAGAACATGATGTTTTGTTTTCTAAGTATGTACAATACTCAATAAAGATAATCCAGGCAATGCTGGCCAAAGTTGTAAATGAACTTGTATTCTTGAGTATTTCTTAATACACGGTAAGAGGGAGGGGGAGTGCTGCCTCTTTTATTGTCTTTCACTGTGATTTTATTTTCAATCTAAACATAATGATGCTTTACGAACTACATCAAAAATACTTTGACGGGTGAGCAACAGTATTAAATATGAGTGTGGAGAAAAAAGTGAACTGAAGTCCTGGAACGTTTCCTGCAGTGTTCAGGACAGAGTTGTCTCTACTGTCTAGTTTGTACAGAGCCCATCAGTACCTCCCTGAATAGCTGAAGAATCATGGAGCAGGAAGCTTCTCTCGACAAATATCCCTGGATCCAAGATGTGGATCTGTGCTGTCCCTGTTGCGCAGAACCGGTCGGCCTGAACTTAGACACTGATCCAGGTTAAAAGATACAGGATAAATGTTTCCCATGAGGAACCAGGGCAGAAAGTTGTCTTCTGTGAGAACACTAATTAAACCCTGATGGTAGGAAAAACAAGTCATGGTTTAATGCAGAAAGTAAATGGTGCATGAGCAGAGTTTATAGATGATTGCAATGTTGAAATGAGTAGGAAGCAAGTAACACAAAAACTTGAAGAAATGTGAGATGAATACTGCATTCTTGGATTGTTCTGGAAGAATGACAGCGCAGCAGCACTGTACTTGTTGCTGGAACTGAGGAAGCTGTGCTTCATAGAAGGTAATGTTAATAGAGTTGGGATGGTTGCGGTCACATATGTAAATGTATGGAGTTGACTGTAGGTATTTGTAGCTGAGGTGGAAGAAGAGAAATAGTGATGAAAAAGTCTGAAGATCCAAAGAATAGATCTGATTCGCAGGGAGAGGATGAAAAACTTCAAGTGAAAAATTATTACAGTAGGGACCAGAACAGCAACTTCTTTAATTTAAAATGTTTAAGAAGACAGTTTACTGTAATAAAAAATGTCTTCCTGTGTCATCAGATTTAGTTGTTCTCTTTAATGTTAGATGTATTTTAAAGGAAATGAGAAATATTACTAGAAGCAATTTTTATTGACATTGGTATGTAGATTGGACATTAGTGCTTCCATTATTATTTCTTGTAATGTCAGGTCAAACTGAATGAGTCTGCATTCAAATTTAACTAATGAGCGTTGCCAATTTTATCTAGGTCTTTAACTGAAATTATAATATGCTTTTATGTAAACAAGTTTTAGGTACACTTCCTGTTAACCATGCCTATCAGTTTCTGTAGAAGTTTTGGTCTCTTCACTTGGCAATTAGACCCACAGCTCCTTCACATATCTGTGTTTTTTCCTTTCCTTGGGAACTGTACCCACGTGGAATACACCTGCTTAAGAGGATGCTTTGTATGGCGTGGAGATGCACCATTCCTTTAACTACAGTGTTCTCCTTCCCCCTCTTATCTTACACAGTCATTTGAAATAAACTGTGTGCTTACTGTCTGAGTTTTTTTCCATATAAAGGTTTATAGATCTCTTGTGGTGCTGGAGTGTGGGGATAGAGCTGGAACTGGTAAGCTGTTCCCAGTAGAGGAACATCCCCCAACCCAAAATTATTTTATTTTGCCTTCTTTAGAAAATTATACCATTAAACTCCCTACTTTAGAATGCTGTGCAAATTGCTGGCTTGTTTGTTTGGGGATTTTTTTTACCATTTTGAAATTTAGTGAACTCTCTGTGTGGGACCCTGTTCCCCAGGTTGTATATAGATAGTACACAATCTGTGGTGTCCTTATCACTGCTCTCCCGAGGTGTTTTTACAGAAGCTGATGCCTTTGCAGGTTTCAGGGGAAAGACAAGACTCGGATGATTTCCTCTGCCCTCCTGGAACAGAACGTTGCAGCGAGGCCACTCCCACCCATCTTCAAGAAGCCAGTAAATCTGGAATATCAATAGGTCACAGAGAATTCAGGTATGTTCTTGCAATTGCTGGTAGAACATAAAGCCCTTACTGAACTATTTGGCTGCCCTTTCTCCTTCATAGCAAGTACAGATGCCATGGCAATGCCAAGGAGTGGAAAAGTCAGCCTTGGGGATGTGTTTCCCTCTGGTAGCATGCTCAGGTGTATTTGTCCATGTTGTGCTTCCCTCCTCCTTGTGTCTACTATGGAGACATAAATTTATTTGGGCTCATACATGGTGACGATGATGCCCAAGAGCTCTGAGGACTTGGGACACCTTATTTCTGTTGTGATTTCAAGAAAAGCAGAAGCCAAATGACCTTTCTGATTTGGAGAACAGGGAATGTGCCAGGTACTCTGAACACTTCCAGTGTGGTTTGGGGTTTTTCTTTTCTTTGTGCTCAGCTTCACTTTGTTTTTTCAGGCTAGGGATGCGACACAGTCACTAACTCTGCCAATATGCACTAAGATGTTAAACTGAGACTAGGCTTGTTTGTGGCTGGAACTTTGCAGTAGACTGACCTGTATTTTTGGGTGGTGTGCTGCTATCCACATTTGTGTTGGTGTGGGTTTTTTGGGGGGAGGTGGGGAGCAGTGGGTTTTAAACATGAATGTTGGGTTTTCTTGGATTTTAAGAGTGTTTTTTTCCAAATTAACTTACTGCACATCTTTCTTCTACAAGGGATTTTTATGAGAAACCTTGGAAATAGATTTAATAGAGGCCTCAGCTGGGACTGTTAGGTGCATCCCAAAAGAATATTGAGGAGTAAGATTTTCAGTCTGCTTGTGTTATTGAGAGCTTTATCACTTCCTACAGTTACACTTGTGGGATATAGCACAACTGAGATAATTGGACTAGTTGAGCTACTGAAGTGGCTTGTGTGTGTTTGCTCAGAAGAATGTGAAAGCCAAAGTATCTTAGAAGTATTTCAATAGGCAGTTTCTCTCTTGGGCCCTGATTGTTTACAGAACAAATTAACTTCCTGTGCTTGTTTCCATTTAACAAACCATACATTGTATGTTCAAGAAGTGCTCTGAGAACAGTTATATTCATGTCCTTCAGGCTAGAGAGGATTCTTGTTCTGTACTCAAGAGGGTTCATCTGAGTACCTACTTAGGATGGCACAATTAGACTCCGTGTGCTTATGTGGTATTTTTCATTTCTTACTGTATTAACTTCATTCAGTTTATTTGTGTATCTTTCTGATTTATTTTTAGCTTTGTCCTGTTTCTGTAATAACATGTGAACTCAGATGAATTATGAAAATCATGATGTTCAAAATGACTCAAAATTTGGCAAAGACAAATTTACCCAATCAAAGTGTTTAAAATTAAACGTGATGCTATTTAGGTAAAGCATGTGTTATTTGTAATGCATAAAGGCATACAAAATGTGCTTGATATTTAAATACATTTTTAAACTTTTATTTCATGTTATTTTTCTAAAACATTAGACTCTTTTAATTCTTCTTTATAATTGTATAGAAAATTTAATTTCTATAGATAACTGGTCCTTTCCATATTATTTGCCTGTAATATTCTACAAAGATAGTGATAACTGTTGCATACTCCTGTTCCTCATTAGGGTCAGTATTTGGGTTTATGTGTGCTAAGACTTTGTAGCCTGCTGATTCAAACTCTTACCATACTACTAAGAAGTCTTAGTCTTAACATGTTTTGAGAGCAAGTTTTCCTGCCTCAGAGACACAATGGCAGGGACATTTCTCTCTGTGCTCCCAGTTAGAACCACTTAAATTAATCTTTTAATATAATACTCTGACCAGTATTGACTGTTGTTTATAAGGCTCTCAGCAGAAGTAGTGTAGGAAAAAAAGGTTAAGAAAACACTGAAAAATGTATTTTTGTTCTAACAGCACTGAAATAATATGA